TTTCCTGTTTCAAAGCTGACAGGCCACAGCAGCTTTCTTCTGTTCTACCCTTCTGTCGTAAGCCAGGTTTCATCTATTTATCTCTGTCAGTTTATTTAAATATGGAGTTCAGACTGTTCTTTAATTACTGTTTATATTTGAGTAATATATTGCCCTGGCATAAGAGTTTGTTCAACAATAAAATTTTGCTCTAGACTGTGCTTCAGGCTTCTTTGTCACTCTGTTCCAATATGAATTCTTGTCATTATGGGTTGAAGTCTGGGAATTAACTTTTAACCTAACTGGTACAGACTGTCTTTACATTCAATAGCACTGATTGTGTTGAATGACTTACAAATGCAGCCTGAGTTCATAGTTATTCATAATTGCACGTGACTGTTCTTTATTCATTAGATTCTAACAAAACGATGCTTACAAGAATGAACAGTCAGATGTTGGAGAAATGAGAATATGGGGAGGGAGCCTGCTTTAGCTCTCATCAGAGGCTGTCTCTATGGTGTTTTCAGATTTCTTCACTGAAGCAAGTGAGAAGAAATAAGTGCTTTCTGAGGACTCCTAGATATTTGCCTATATGAGTGTTGGAGGGATGCACAAAGTGATTTTGTGGGCTTTTTTGCTGAGCTTGTAAGATGTATATGTAGAATTTGGGACTGATAGTAGTTTCCGATGTACTTTTTTTTTTTGCAAGTCTCTGTTTTTACTTCTAATTGTTGTAATGCTTTAATCATATACACAACCAAGTACAGTGGTGCCCCACATAGCGATGATAATCCGTTCCGAAAAAATCATCGCTATATGGATTTGTCGCTATGCGGGGCAAAAACCCCCATAGGAACGTATTAAAACACGTCTAATGCGTTCCTATGGGGAAAAAACTCACCTTTAAGCGAAAATCCTCCATCCCGCCACCATTTTCGGTGCCTCTAAAGCGAGGCAATACAGCGGGCGGCCATTTTGGAACCGCCGATCAGCTGTGCTTCGGCTCTCTCTCTCTTTCTCTCTCTCTCTCCCCTTCCCCCCTTTCAGGTCCAGCCCGAAGCACAGCTGATGGGCGGGTGTTTGCAAAGATTGCGGGGAAGCCAGCTTTGCAACCCCCCCTCTCTCCCCTTACAGGTTCAAGGCTCTCTTTCGGGGGGGTGCTTTGGGATGATCGTGGGGAAGCGCTTCCCCACGATCATCGCAAAGCGATTTACCCCATTTAAAACATCGCAATGTGATTGCTTTTGCTTGTAAGATGAATATGTAGAATTTGGGACTGATAGTAGTTTCCGATGTACTTTTTTTGGCAAGTCTCTGTTTTTCTTCTAATTGTTGTAATGCTTTAATCATATACACAACCAAGTATACAGCTTTCAAAGCAAATAAAAAGGACAAGTACAAATTAAAATGTGCATATTTATTATGTTGGAATATTCCAACAAAATATTAGGCAAGAACTGTAAATACTTAATAGCATTACATGAGTTTTGAACCATCTTTGTACCACATGAGTTAATTGTTTAACAGCATAACAGAACAGTGCATTGCACTGATGGGGCAGTATATAAATAACGAAAAACAAAATATCAACAGAGAACTTAGTATTCCGTAGTCATCTGTTTCCTGAACTAATATCTAGCAGTTAGTACCTAATTAATAGTGATAGGATAAAAGACTAGAAAGTGTTCTATAAATGTGTAGGGAAGTGGAGAAGGGTTTGTTTCATTGCTTCATACTAAAATTCAGTTTCCCAAGTGAAAGGGATAGGTGGAGTGTTCAGCTCAGAGGATTTCTTCATACACTGCCTCTTAGATTAATGGAATTGGCTTCTACGAGATGTGATGATTGCTGCTAGTTTGGATAGCTTTGCAAGGGGCTTTGGTAAATTCTAAAAATATATGTCTGTGAGAGCGATGATATATAAGCTGAACCTCAAGTTTAGGAAGCACTGTCCTTTGAATACCGGTTGCTGACAAAGAGTAAGTGCTTCTTTCCTGGAAACATCTAGCCAGCTAATATTGAAAATAATGGATGTTTTGTAGTCAGCTCTTAAAATAGAGATGTGAATATTCGAAGATACACAACGATACAGTGGTGCCTCGATTTAGAACCAGAATCTGGTCCAGAAGATGGTCGTAAGTCGAATCAGCATACAACGATACAGTGGTGCCTCAATTTACAACCATAATCTGGTCGAGAAGATGGTCGTAAGTCGAATCAGCATTTCCCATTGAAATGCACTGAAACCTGATTAATCCGTTCCGGCTGTTTTTTAGTGTATCTAGAGGCGCTGGTTGTAAATTGAAGCATTCATTCCCATAGGAACTAAACGGTTAATCCGTCCTCTACCACTGGGGATAATTTTTCTTCTTTTAACCTAAGATAACTTAGGTTTAAAAAAGGTCAGGAAAGGAAGGAGGGAGGGAACAATGGGGAAAAGAGGAAAGAAAGAAGGTCATCACAGGCACACAGTCCCCTCAGACAAAGGTTTGTGCTGTTAAGCATGAAAAAAGAGAAATAGAGAGAAGATAATTGGGGGGAGAGATTTTGGAGTCTGTGATTGTGTTCTTCTGAAATTGGTGACGGTTCCTTCAATTTGGCGGGAATGAGAGACGGAAGCAATTTGAACTGTTTAACAAACGTAGCTATATTCTCATCTGCTTCTTGATTAACAACATTGAACAGATCAAAACTGCTTAACTTGGGAATCAGTCCATAACTCAGTATCTTTGGTTCTGTTGAAAATACTCCTCCCCTCACGTTGGGGCTGGACTAAAGCGCTCGCGGTCGATCATCTGCCACATGGGGGTACTCCTCACTGCACACACCGTCCCACAGCATGGACGCCTTGCCCGATCTCCCTCCAAGGGAGTTGCATGTGGGACCGGGACAGATTACCTTCCTCCCTCCACTTTGGTTGTGGGGTAAACCACCACTGTCCATTCTAATGGTTTCACAACCCTCCCTCCACCCCTGGAGGAAGAAGGGTCCGGTAGCAATCCTCCTTCTGTCTTGAGGTTTGGAAACTCTCTCAGCAGGTCACAGACCTTGTTAGCTTGTTCATCCACTCTTATCTGTTTGCACTGCGCTGTCTCTCATGCTCCCTTCTTTCTTGCCCACTTCCACTCTAAATTCCCACTTACTTCTTCCTCCCCTTTTATAACCTCCTCCCATAATATCAGATCTTGCTCCTCCCCTTTGTCTCCCTCCTTATCGTCCTCCAAGCATATCTCTATCACCTTATCTCCCTTAAATACTCTAATTTAAATACTCGGCTGTGGAACACACTTCCCACTGAAATTCGGCTGGCACCCTCGCTGGGGGTGTTCAAAAACCAACTAAAAACATGGTTATTCAGACAGGCCTTCCCCCCAGTGCTTAGTACAGTAAAATTTTATTTATTTATTTATTTATTTATTTATTTATTTATTTATTTATTTATTTATTTATTTATTTATTTAACTTAACTTATATGCCGCCCATGCTACCCGAAGGTCTCTGGGTGGCTTACAGCATTTAAAATACAATAAAAAGGCAAAATAAAAGGGCAAAATAATTAAAATGCAATTAAAATATATATTCTAAAACAGCATTAAAATTTTGCTTAAATTTCTCCTTCCAGCAGCTATAATAGAAACCAAAAGCAGCTAGAAAGAAAGCAAAAAGAAATAAATGTTAAACTTAAAAGAGGTATGGGGAGCGGTCTTGAATGTGATTTACTGTGTTATGCAGCAACATTTTGACCACTGCTGCTTAGCACAGTAAAAATTTAAAGTAGTTAAAAAAATCAGAGCATTAAAAATTTACTTAAATTTCTCCTTCCAGCAACTGTAATAGAAACCAAAAGCAGAAAGAAAGCAAAAAGAAATAAATGTAAAGCTTAAAAGAGGTATGGGGAGCGGTCTTGAAAGGGCTTTGGACTATAGTCCCACTATTCCTTACTGTTAACCAGGCTAGGTGGGGGGTGGGGTAGGGTGGGGAGTGGAGTGGAGCTGTAGATAGAAACATCTGGGGACAGGTATGTTTCATATGTTCCCCACTTGTGGCTTAAAACAAAGGCCCACTTTCATAGATGGAAACTTTTATTGTTTCATTTCGTATACTGTCCTGCATATAGGACATGCACATAGCATGTGTTGTATGAAGTTACAGTGTTTATGGCTTGTATGAAATGGAATTAGAACTTTTTCAAATAGGGTGCACATATCAATCATCTTGACTTCTGTACTTTTCATGTTTGTATGTGTGTATAAGAGAAGGGGAGAAGCTTGAGCCGTATTTCAAAGAAATCAGTTTAGACATATGCTTCTGCTTGACAAAAATTCTTTGGGAAGAAAGTTACATTGGAAATAGGCCTCACTGTGCAGAGTTAACAGTACAGTGGTGCCCCGCAAGACGATGTTAATCCATTCCATTCAAATAGCTGTCTTGTTAAAACATCATCTTGTGAAAAGTGTTTCCCCATTTGAATGCATTGAAATCTGTTTAATGTGTTCCAGTGGGGACAAATCGTCATCATATTGCAAAAATCACCCATAGGGAAGCCATTTCGTGGGGACAAATTGTTGTCATTTTGCAAAAATCACCCATAGGGAAGCCATTTTGTGAAGCGCCGATCAGCTGTTAAAATCGCTGTCTTGCAAAGCATCGGTCCCAAAAACACCCGTTTTGTGAGTCGCAGACCTAGCTGTGAAAATCATCATCTTTCGAAGCATTGTCCCCCCCCCCAAAAAAAAACTGTCTTGCAACCCCCGTCTTGCGAAGCACGGACCGAAACATCGTCCAGCGGAAACACTTTTTTGCAAAGTGCTGTAGCGATTGCAAAAAGTCATCGTCATGCAGGTTCGTCATTTTGTGAGGTCATCGTCTAGTGGGGCACCACTGTACAGTTGTTATCAACAATTACAAGAATACAACATGGAATACTAGTGAAAACAAAAGCATTTGGGGCATTAAAATATATTTATGCTTTAGTGTGTATAGCAAATATTAATGAAAATACTGCTGTCCTTTCCTTTCAGGAGCAGCTATCTCAGGTTCTCGATGCCATGTTTGAAAGGAGAGTTCAACCTCAGGAACATGTGATTGACCAAGGAGATGATGGAGACAATTTTTATGTCATTGAACGGTAAGAGGCCAAACTATGACTTTGCGTGTGTGTTTAGAGCTTGTCTTTCTTGTTTTAAAAAATAATGATATTCCAGTATTTTAACTTAGTAGGTAGGAGGACATTAGAAAATAGAGTTTCTAAACCGAGTATGTATTTTTAAAATTAAGACCAGTGGTTTCAATAGCATGCTTTGCTTGTAGCATGCTGTGATTGAAAGAGGACACAATAAAGAGGCTGTACTGTAGTTAATCACTTAAAATGAGACACACAGAAATTGTGCGGTGGACTAAAAACGTCTAACATATGCATTACCTTCTTTAAACACTAGCAGAATTAATATAATGCTCCTAATATAAAACATCAGAATCACAATTGTACTGATTTATATTTATGTACATAAATACCGATTTATGTCACTTTTTTGTAACTTTGGGCAGGTTATAGAATTTAAAGTTACAGTAGGGATACAAACACTACAGAGTAAAAGCAAGATGGACCAATTAAAATTTTGTTAAGAATATCACAGCATTAAAGTAGCTATGCATGCTTTTCAGTATTTGAAATATAGCATCAGTTACTTCAGAATGTTGCTGATAATTGGACTGAATGAGCTGGAATGCTGCTTAGTTAGTCTTGCACACTAGTTCATACATGTCCGAATAGCTGTGTTTTATGTGAATTTGCTTTTTGTCTCACAAAGATACAGTGGCACCTAATAGTAACATATTCCTTAAGAGTCAGTACACATACTGCTATCTAGTCATGGGATCACTTGAATCTTTCTCATGCTCTTAATACCACTGATAATGTGTACAAATTTATTCTTTGGAATATTTCTTATGGAGGGAAAGTGAATGGAGTATGTTCCACATTTGCATAGAAGCCAAGCAATGTTTCTATTTGCATAGAAGCCACCTCATAGGCATCCTTCAGTCTCGAGAGACTATGGTAACATGCTCTGAATCCAGAGCATGAAGCCTGGGTAAAGTAATATGGAGGATAGGCTGTTACCCAAGGAGCAGATCCCCCCTCTCCACATTGCTGAAATGGTCCAATGGAAAGGCAAGAGCCAATACAACTAGTTCCAGCAATGTCGCAGGAGTTGGCAGAACGACACCAACTGCCTGCGGGACTCCAGCTCTGGATTTTGCCTCTAGGTTAACTCCTGAAGCCTTTTCCATGAGTGGATATAGCCACAAGGCAGTGGAGGTTTGAAATCGGAGTTTTCCTTCTCCTAGATGGTCTGCCTTCCATGGCTGATGAGCCTCACCTACCTGGTCTGCTCTTTAATAGTGCAGAAGTATGATCCAACCTTTAAAACCTTCCTGCCTCCCAGGTGTATACAAATCTAATTGGCTTTCCTATTTACCATAACAGGGCCAGAGATACACTCAGGGAATTTGAGAATTTCACGCTCATTTAAAGCAGAAAGCCCCATCCCCTAGGCCCCACCTCCAGGCCGTGTGGTGGGGGAGACAAAAAGAAAACCCAGGAAAAAAAACCTCAGCAAAATCTCCTGTCAGCTATGTATCTAGTGTGAGTGTTGTAATCTGTTCCATAAAAGCAGAACTCCCCACAAATGTTCATTTTTTGAACTTTAAAGCTAGAGTAGTTGAAGCCCAAAGTGGTATTTAGGAGTTTTAGCCTGAGGGCTTTATTGTTGGGGCTTGTTAATCTTGTAACTGCCTTAACTGTGTTAAGCCAGCTTTAGAACCCACACTGCAGCCTGCCCTTCAATTATCTGTCTGTCTGTCTGTCTGTCTGTCTGTCTGTCTGTCTGTCTGTCTGTCTGTCTCTCTCTCTCTCTATCTATCTATCTATCTATCTATCTATCTATCTATCTATCTCTTGTAACTGCCTTAACTGTGTTAGGCCAGTTTTAAAACCCACACTGCGGCCTGCCCTTTAATTTTATTATTTATTTATTTGGTTTTGAGATGTTATGGGTTTTTGTTTTGTTTGTTTGTTTGTTTCACAATGATTAGAATCTGTTCTATAGGAATGTATTGAGATGTTCTGGGTTTTTGTTTTGTTTTTTTGTTTGTTTTTTTGTTTCACAGTGATTAGAATCTGTTCTATAGGAATGTATTTTATTGGGATACTGTTTGTGATGGGTACAGATTAGATAACAAAGTGTAGCTCAGTATAATTGTAGATTTTTTGGTTTGTGTTTGTGCATGTCTGCGTGCATCCAGTCGTCTGTCTGTCTGTGTGGCAAAGCAAGGCAACTAGAATGAAAGTTGGAAGTAAATAATTACTCCCAATGGAGGATTTTTGAATAATACATGTGTTTTTGTCAAAATCAGACTAGCAATAAAGGCAAACCATTTGCTTGGTTCCCAGGTTATTACTGATAGATTTCAGATAATTATTTAGCAGGACAAGTTAGCAATTTGAGGGCAAAATTAACTCATGCACATCCTGGGAAATGTGAGAAGATTACATCTAATGTAGTGTCACTGTAAAGTAAAATCTCTAATCTTCATTTAGATCAGGGGGTTTCCAAACTTTTCAGTATGAGTGCTACATCATATATTTTATAAAATATTTACAAAATGTTTTACAACAACGTATATTTGTCTGCCACTTACAAGAAAACATAGTTTTTAAAAGAGGTCCACTTTAGAACAAAGACCAATTGCAAGCCACTTTGAAAGCATTTCAGGAAACATCCTTGCAAGACCGTGTTATGTGCTCAAACCACAGAGGAGAGATTATTTTTACTTGGGAAGGAAGGGCCTTCCTACATGTGTTTTTGCCAAATACAGTATTTTCTATTTGGTCTAATGCCCAGGCTTTTTGTTTTCCATCATTTTAGGGGATTGTATGATATTTTTGTAACACGAGATGGCCAGACTCGCTGTGTTGGCCGCTATGATAACCATGGCAGTTTTGGAGAACTGGCCTTGATGTACAACACTCCTAGAGCTGCAACGATTGTTGCCACGACAGAAGGAGCCCTTTGGGGACTGGTAAGTTTCCTTGGTGGAGATTGACTCTCATTTTGCATGTGTTAGTTATATCTAGTCTTGGTTGCAATTTCTTCTTCTTGGACACACATTGCTATATATAACATTGTGACAGTTTCAGGTTCTGTAAAGGTTTCCCATCTATTACATTATGTTTTTCTCTTAAAAGGGATAGACAACTGGTGTTCTTTCAGTCTGGCCTAGGTTTTCCCATTCTCTTTAGGTGCGATAGGGGAGGCAGTTTTATGGGGTTGCAGCAGGGTAACAAAGGGTCCCCGTGCATTGTGACATTCTTGAAAATCTGTCACTGTTGTGTCCCATTGTTGGCTTTTGCCACACTCACCAATGGCCCTTATTGTGCGTACCTCCCAATATTTATACCCAGAGGACGAACCATAAAATGTTCTGAAAACTCAGTAATCATGCTGACTGCTGTCTGAAGTTGATTTTCTTGGATTAAATCCCTTCCAATGAAAAATTATCTAGAGAAATGTCTTAAAACAAAGATGATCAATATTGCATCAGGAAAATTAGAATACTTAATATTTGTCATTTTTATATGCCTAGTCATTTCTTTTGCAGCCACCTAATCATTATTGCAATAATCCAAACATGTAAGCCCCATTGTCAAAAGCTGTGTTGTGCATGAAATCCTGTTGTTCAAGCAATTGAAACCAGTGCTTCCTTGACATGTTGAACAGTTCTTGAGATTCTAGATAGTATTAACTTGGTCTGCTTGGATATCTATATATAGAGAAATTCTGTTCTCCTTGAGTTGATAAAAAGAGCTTTGCACAGTTTCTGGAACTGACGAGCAGTGTTGCTTTGTGTGTATATGTGTGTGTGTGTTTAAAATATGAGGAATTTGTCTTCAAGCACAAAGTTACAGCATTTGTGCAATGGCTCTTTCTTTCTTTCTTTCTTTCTTTCTTTCTTTCTTTCTTTCTTTCTTTCTTTCTTTCTTTCTTTCTTT